AGCGTTGCTTGGTATTTGCAAAAAGATTAGACTGAAAGTTATATTAAGTGTATTTAAATCATCAAACTGTAGTTTCTTTGTGTCGTGTGAGACCTTTTGAGAACATCTCAATGTATTTCTGCTCTATTCTCCTCCTTTTTTGAAGGCAGCTGACATTCTTCTTTCACTTTTGTGAAATTTTCTCCTTTTTTTATCCACTCACTTCTCCATCTGCTTTCACTTTTGTTTGCTTGGGCCGTCTCTCATCCCAACTTGATAATGAGGAATGCGGTGTGACCCTGACCTCTATCAGCCCATGCATGACCTTCTGACTCCCCCACATAACCTTTAACCTTCTCTTTGACAGCTTGATTAATTACCCTGTGTTATGATTTATGAGTAAGTGCTATGTAAAAATAATAGACAACAGGTGGTCCTCTAAAAACTTTTTGTGGCATGTTTTCTTTTCCTCCCTAACCTGATGAGCTATTTTAAGTTGGGAACTTAGTGGGACAATGTGCATTTGGCAGCAACATGGCATTTTTACGCACTTGGACACAGTGCTGGAATTCAGGCGGCCGAGGTGTAGCTGGGAGGGAAATATCACAAAGTATTAGCAGAGTGCAGTTGTGAAAATGTACATGGGGTGGAAACAGAATGTGCAGTCAACTACATTTTGGGCATTTCAGTCGCAGGTCACGTCTTGAGAAAACTGGTCAAATAATGCAGGGGGAATTTTTCAAGCTGAGCAGTATCTCCAGCAGCTATGGTTTACTTCACTGCACCTCACCAATGACTTCTGATTGGTTGTTGTGACCTCATCCCACTGTCGCACCTACAGTGATGTACCCTTCTCGTGGAAAAGATGGGAAATGAAAGAACATACATCTTTCCAGAAAGATGAATGGATGTCACCGTGTCCATTTTAACCATAGGCAGGTTTAAGAGCTGAGAGCTTTTGAGTTGCATTCCCCCCGTGTTTGAACTCCAGTCTTGTTATCAATGATCCAAATCAAAACCTGAACGTGAAAATTCAGGTTGATAAAGCTTAGGAAAATGATCTCTTTCAGACTGACACTTGCAGTCCAAAAAGTTAGTTACATAGGTCAAAAGATTCCTCTCCAGCCCTGACCTCTCTGGTCACATCTGGTATCCCATCTTGGTGGATTAATATGCAGAGCTGGATGCTTTCAGCTCATTTATTCATGTGGCCAAGAGATTTCAAAAGATTTGGAATGTACCTCAAATACTTTGGGATTCTTTTTTTATAACCTAACTCTTGCTGTCAGAGGCAATATTTTTATTCCTTCCATTTCGAACATCTCGCTTGAACTTCAGTAAGAGGCAGGAAGTACCGCTCCATTTCTGGCTTATGTTTTACGGTGGAAAAGGTCCTTCTACGTTGTTCTGGCTTTGTAGTAAAGGTATTGTAATTGAGATTCGTGATTCTTTCCAACACTTGACTTTGTCAGCCTGCTTTTCCTTTCATCATCATTTGCTGGCTCAATCACATATGCTAATTGCATTTGTATTTATGAACCTAGGAGTGGAGTTTGCAGAGTCCTCTGCCTCTAGAAGTGGGTACCTGGAGAATGCTAGTAGTTAGCACATATTACATTTTTCTTACCTTGAAGTGTTAGAATTTGGATTGTTTTGGGTGTTTTAGTCTGAGAAAGAAACTGTAATTGTACCGACTGAACTCGTAGATTAGAGGCTGGGACTTGTATTTATCAGTGTCTGTCCTGATTATTGCATCTCATCACATATACACTAATGGGGGATGCAGCCAAATCTTGGCTTCTGTGCAACATTAGTATTCTATCAGACATGCGGTAGAACACGGGACTTGGCTTGTTTCAGTCATCTAAAGATTGATGGGGGTGCAGCAGGGTTTTTCCCAAAGTTTGGCTTTTTACCCTGAAAAAACTTTGCACTTTGGAGGGTGGTTTCTGCTTCTGTGTGCACTGGACGCCCTCCACTATTATGTATGTTGAAAACGTACCAAATGTTTTAATGAGAGTGGAAGCTTTAAAAACTCCCCTATATGGCAGTGCTTACTTAGATCATATGTGACTACATTTTAACAATGCTCTAAGCTCATCATAGGTGAAATTGGTATTTTCAGTGACATTCAGAGATACGTACTTCTGAACACTATTCTCATATAAAAAGATACTTTTCAATGAATGTGATTTTGTCTTTGCTTAACATGCCAAACACTGTGTATCTTGCGTATTTTTTAATTTTGCCAAAGGCCTTTTTTCAGATGTTAGTGGTCTTGTGTTTTCAGTCTTGCATTGACTTGCACCCTGTTCAGCCCCATTTCATTAGTGAGGAGTTCCACCTTTTTTTTTTATTCCTTTTCTGATTGCATTGAACTTTAATGGTGCAGCTATGCCCACACCAAATAATTTTTTCAAAAATTTAATTGTACTTAAAAGCCACATTGTTTACATAGATGTTATTTAGAGCTGAGTAATCCTTTTCAGTAGCAAATGCTTGTGCTAAGGCTGAACGAGAGAGGTTGTTACAGTTTTACTCATCATTTTGTTATTCCATGTTGATTTATACATGTCATTTTTGAATCTTCTTTCTGGTGCCATTATTTTATATCTTGCCATTTAGAATGCAGGACAAGCAAAACAATCTGAAAAGAGATTACTTCCCTAAGAGAAAGTTTTACAATTTTTAAGATAATTTTTTCTTTTTCAATTATGGGAAAACCTATCTCAGTTACTATTTAATTATTTTAATTGTGCAGACAGGAAACACCTGCTGTCTTTGAGAAATTAAAAAAAAAATAAATGTAAAGGGAGGCATGTTGCACTGCTTAAAATGTAATTGATAAAAATCCTTTAATTAATTTATGAAATAGTGAATTTAAAAATGGAATCATATTTCATCTGTTGATGTCTATGTGAAAAATTGACATTGTGTCCTCATAGCATTCGACAAATGAGTCATGTAATTTTCAGTTACATAATCAATAACTTAGACAAATTCTACTTCTTTGATGATTTATGTGTCTGTTTTGAGGGCATCTTAAAATGGACACAGAGCTTCAAATCACTGTAACATTTGTAGACCTGTAATAAACATATGAATTTTGCATTTGGCATCGTATAGAAAGCAAAACAAATCGATAACACAGAACTTCTCTGCTCAAAACAAGCAGCTTGAAATGAACAACACAGAGCCCCAAGTACTACGAGAGCTTGGTCCTACCCTGCCTCTAGCAAGTTCAAACAGCATGCTTTCTTCTGAGGTATATGGTTTAGGGATGTTTGTAAGTTGTGTTCTGTCATGGATTTTGGACTTTGAATTTTAGTTAGAAATCTTGTGGTTTTAGTACGGTGGTGTGTTAACATGACCATAGCAATGGCATGGGTAGGTTTTAAACTTTGTCTTCTTTAGTTTTCCATTTTCCTTTGCTCTTCCCCCTCAGTTTATTTATTTATTTGTTTGTATTTATCCCAGTTCAATTCACTCAGCAGGGTGGGCAGGAGAGCAACATGACAGGAGACCACTTACTCATGGTGCCGTGTCTAGCTAGGAGGCAGTTTTCTCTTTGGCCTACATTGACCTTTTTTGACTATGTCCCTTACACCACAGACAGTGTCCTGAATGCCTCTTATTTCACCCTGTTTAGCAGAGTGCAACCGTGCCCTTTAACTTGGGTTTTGGTGGGAGGAGAAGCTGTGGCAGACATTTGAGAAGGGCACAAGGACAAGGGGTAGGAACTCCCTTCAGATGCGATTTTGATAACTAGTCAAGTGTGTCCAACTGTAGAAAATCACCGAGTGACAATCTGTCTACCTGACAGTGGCCACAATGCACTACAAGGTTTGTGAATGGCTCTACAGATTAGAATAAAGCGAGCCCAAAGAAAGTGTCTTTTGTTGGTGTGGGCTTGGTTTGCTCTGTCCAGCTAGGTATGGGGACCTCTTTGATTTTTGTGCCTAGCCTTAGTGCAAAATGAAGCACCCAATGAAAAGCTGGAATAAAGCTGTTTGGTTAGATAATTAATACAGACATTTCCAAAAAGTAAGTCTTTATTAAATTACTTTTAAAGGACAGCTTGATTTTGACTGGGAACCCATTATAACTTCAAGGACTGATCTGTTAAATGCACTTGCTTCTCTTTTCTGCCTGCGTTTGTGATTGTATCTTCCATGAATATTACAATTCTTGTGTGATTTGCCATCATTTAAAAGTCATAATAAAATGATTGGCTGATTTATTTAAGAATTTATTTCTCATTCATAGATTCATGCATTTTTCAACTGGCTCAAAAATGAGGCACAAAAATGCAGCTGGTATGCTTAAAAGCGTATTGCAGGTCACAGATTTTCTCTGGGTTTTTCAAATACCGGACGTAATCCCAGAAAAGTTTTAGAGCAGATTTAAAGATGAGCTTAAAAGTCAATCCCCACAGTAAAAGAGGTGACCTGTAAGCAATATCACTGAATCAGTTTTGGTATTGATTCACTGTTAGTGCTGCGATTGGCTTCTGCATGGTATGCTTGTTGTCAGCTAGACAAAAGGTTTTACTGTTTTAAAGTTCAGTGAATAGTTTTCACATGCTTTTTTACTATATATATAAATATATGAAAACCGTACATCCTTTTTATTTAAAGGTTTTTACTGGCTTGGTCCTTTTTTATTCATTCAGAAGCATTTATTTTGCTTCTAGTTCTCATATTGTTTTCTGAAAAAGTCATATAAATAAATGAATATGAATAAAACAACATATAAATTATTTTAAAGGCAACTTTTCTGATGCTGAGAGATGTGTATAAGCATAAGCATATGCACAGGCACATTCACACATCAATAGCCCTTTAATGACAGAAATGAACCAGAATATTCTTAAAATACCCTTCTATAAATTATGTGGTGTGAAGCTGCTGAAATAAATATAAAAGTTTTCAAGAGTATTAAAATAAATGCAAAGCATTTTCAAGCATTAAATCTCTATTTTCATATTTCTTCTTTTTGTGTGTGTGTCTCTTCTAAAACAGGAAGGCTACGGAGTAATAGTACTGAATCCCAATGAGAACTATATTGAAGTGGAGAAGAAAAATGCCCAAGTACATCTGTCCTCTGATAGCTCAGATGAACCTGCAGAAAAGAGGGAAAAAAAAGATAAAATCCAAAAGGAAACAAAGAAGCGACGTGACTTCTACGAAAAGTACCGAAATCCACAAAAAGAAAAAGAAACTATGCAGATGTATATTAGAGTAAGTTCCTTTTGTTTTGTTGCCCTTCGTTAATCATGCATAGATATGTTTACTGTCCATATTGGCTAATAAACAGCATGCTCTTTTAAAAACAAGCACATTATCAAGATGGTATTCAAAAGTTTGTACAGAGTTCCTGGCTCTTTATTCTATTGGTATTTTTTGTCATTTGTGGAATATGAAGTTTCAGAAGAGTTACAAAACATTCCTTTCTAATTTCAAATGGGAACTTGAAATAAACATGGGTACTATCAAGAAAGGGAATGATTTAAGGAAGACATTGTAAAAATGATTTTATAAACACAGATTGTACGTAAGAAACACTTCATAGTAGAGCTTGGGCAACATACTAGCTAGACATGTCATACATGCATTTATTGTGTTATATTGTCTTGTAGTGGGGAGGCAGTAGTTAGGGCCTAATAGTTTTTTAACATATTACCTGCTGAATTAATACTGTATTGTGGAAAATACCAGTGTTCATCTTGTGTGGTAGCAGATTTACCCTATAATGTGCTGTTTTCATATGAGCAGCCATCCATTGTGTTTCAGCTGAACTTCTGAAGGGAGATAAAGAAGGCAAGTTATTAATATCTTAATAAATATTTAAGCTAGAATAGTTTGAGAATTGTGTAATGAGGAAACTCTGTCCCATGCTCTTTTCTTACTCAGTGAACCTTTGCACTTTGTAATGCTACCAGCATGGGATCATTATAGCAGTGCTACCCGAGGATTTCTAATTCTGCAGGGGGCACAAACAATATTATTTGCACTTTGACACATTCTACTTCATATACATACTATGTATTATACATACAAACTGAGTCATGAAATTTCCAAAGCCCTTCTTAGGAAAGTTAGCATTTTCATTCAGTGGTAAAACATGTAAACATGTAAAGCAGCACCAGATTGTATTTTTTGTAGTTAAAACAGTAAAACTGCATGTGCCTTTCTGGTGCGAAACAGGGGAAAAACAGCAAAAGATATGTTAGAATCATCTTAAATTTTAACGTGTTCCTGTTAATTGTGGTTTAGCATAATGTTTGAAAGAGAAATAACAGCTGTACTGGCTAGTTAGAAAGGTTTGTAACCTGGATGCAAGATTACCACTAATACCATAAATATTACTGTGTCTTTTGAGAAATAACTTGCTACAGAATATAAGAAACAAAAGGATGCATGTACATATTCAAAGTCAACCATCTGCTGCTTTTTTAGGAGAGATGCTATTCTGACCACCAAACAGACCCTGCTTCTTCAGAGGGGCAACCAAACTTGTCTTGGGGTCCATCGAAAGCCAGTAGATGATGTGCTGTATTGTCTAGGAAAAGCGTTTAGTCAGCATGCTGGTCAGTGTTCTCTTTTTTTGATAGCTTTTTAGCAGTTCCACCTGCCTGTAGCTTTTTTGCTTGATGAGGCACAAAATTTGGCTCCAGGAGGTTTGACCCCCAAAACATAAAATGCAGGACTCCATCCTATTTTCTTTTCCTCGCAGCTCTGTGCTTCAGATATGACTGTTGACATTCCCTTTATTTGATGTTCTTCAAACCAATGAAAGAAGTAGCTTAAGTTTTAGTGAATGTATGGGCAGTGGTTTCTTTTTCCTGGGCGAATTAACTGAAATAGGGTTGTCTGTTGCAGTTGGTGTTTAATTCTGAAAGAATTCTTTGGAGTTTATCTTTTGTTTAGCAGTCTGTAGTACAGAGAGGTTTTTGAAACAGAGTGAAAAATGTCCCTTCTTTGGTGTGTGGCAGGACAAATTACTGCAATTTACTTAACCTATCTGTTTCTGAAACAAAACTGAACTACCAATAAGGTGCCATTTACTCTGTTGGATAGAACTGCTCAGTCTGTAGGTGATTGCAAGAGCAGCTGTGAATATAGCACGCTCTGTTCCACCTTCCTGGCTACAGACACTGTTATCAGCCTGTCCAGGCATTGCATGAAACAAACAAAATAGGTAGGTTTAGATTAGACATTAGGAAGAAGTTCTGCCCTGTGAGGGTGGTGAGGCCCTGGCACAGGTAGCCCAGAGAAGCTGTGACTGCCCCATCCCTGGCAGTGTTCAAGGCCAGGTTGGATGGGGCTTGGAGCAACCTGGTCTAGTGGAAGGTGTCCCTGCCCATGGCAGGGGTTTGAAACGGTGTGAGCCTTAAGGTCCCTTCCAACCCAAACCATTCTGGGATTCTGTGATTCTAAAATGATGCAGTGCCATATTTGCTGTGTATTAATTGCCTTCCGGACTATATGTCCTGTGGGTACTACCATTTGTTTGCACCATAGGACTTGGAGTCCCATTTGCTACAACCACAGGCTGCGGGGGCTACAGTGTTAGAGCAGGTTTGAGTAATCTCAAAGACCAATTTGGATATGACCTTTGTAGTCATACATATATGACTATTATAGCGTACATTTGACTCACAGGGCTCTTGAAATAAGACATATTGTCACTCCACAGAAGTGTTTAAGAAGGGTATATGCTTCATCATGATCTCGTCAAAGAGTTCTGAAAAACCTGAGGAAGCTTACATCATTTTGCCGAGCAGGGAAAAACTGGTGCAGAGAGACTAAATGAAAAATATCCTCACAAGAAGTCATCAACTGGATCTGAAGTTGATGGAAAATTTGTTCCTGTCAAATATGCGGGAGAAATTGTTTCAGGCTGTTAAGTAGAAGGAATAAATATCATCGGTTATGATCTCAAAGGGTCATTGAGATCTGTTGTGATCTGATGAGGAAATGGCATTTGAACAAATGAAAGCTGTCTGGATGATGCTCCCAATTGTGCAGGTAGATTTTCCAAGAATGAGAAAAATGGAACTCTCTCATGGTAAACTTCTTTAAGCATTTTCTGTCTTTTCATAAGGAAAAAGAAAAAAAAAAAGCGACTAAAAAAAAAAACCTGGGATACTCAAGAATATGTAAAAGCAGAGTCTTTAAATATGAAAAAGCTCAAATTACACTGTATTTTTCTACAAAATGAGTACAAATAAAAGCAACTGTTGGAGTGTGTAGTGCATTAAGCACAGTGCTTGAAAGATCAAAGTACTTATTATTTCATGCTGGAAGTTCCCTCAACTATGAAATAATGTACTTTCTGGCATACATTATAGCTTGTTAAAGGGATTGATTTGGTCTGGGCAATAAACATCATGTCAAACATTATGGCACAAAAACCTGCTTAATGTTTTGTAATAAGACAGAATTTTTTGTTCTTAAACATCTGCCAACTGAATTCACAAGTGAAGACAGAAAATATCATCAATTCAACAACAATCTTATAAATTCAGTTTCTTTTTTGTCGATGCAAACCAAGGAAAAACTTCATGATAATCAGCGTTGACTATAATACTTTATGGTATGATTAAACAAAATCCTCTTACTTTTATATAACATGCTAATGAATACATATGAATTTTTTAATGCTCTTACTGTTCAGATTTTAACAAGCATATTGCCAGCAGATCATTTTAAAGGCATCTGTTTTTTAATGTGTTGAATAGAGGGTTGAGTCAAATAGCTAAATATGTACATACATCCTTATAGAAAACATTTCTGTCCTTATAGATACTACTGTTTTTCCTTAGACCACCAGAGGCTGCTGGTGTACATATTGGCTGATGCTTCCCCCCAGAAACTTCTTGCCTAGCCAACCTTCATTTATTACTGAACTAAACTGAGAATTTGTTGATCTCTAACCTTTTCCTATGGAAACAGATCATACAGGCTCAAATGTGGCATGACTGTTCCCTACATCATCCAAACCATCTCCACTCCCTGCAGATTTTCACATTGACGGTGTCTTCTCTATGTTAAAAGACACTTAGAAATGTAAATCAATATTTATCCCCTTCTAAATAGCATTCACCACTTAAACAAGTACACTCAGTGGTTCTGAAATTATTAAAGGAAAAAGTAAATTGCATAATTTTATAATGAAAGTAATTTGCAATAATGCTGTTGCCACAGTAGTCAAAGGATATCAAAGAAGCAACAAAGGAACAGGTAGAAAGAAGTACTTTTATCATGCCATCTGATGGGGTCAGGTTTTCTGGGTAAAAGGATAAGCCTTTCTTACGCCTGTATGCTAGGAATTTTGTCCTTTTTTTTTTTCTCCACCGAGTTTAGCTGCTTTAATAATTCTTACTGCAAATACTATTTTTGCTGTAGCACAATCTATAACGGCACTATTTAGGCTAACAGCCTATCAATGAAATTAAATTAATTCTGGATGTAGCATACTTTTCATAAATAATTTTTACCCTCTTTCTGTGAGAGATTAAATAGAAAAAGATCATGTGCAACTAATTAGTTTGTTTTACTAAAAACAAATGCATCAGGATAATTTGTGCCAGTGTTTATTAATACGCGGTTAAGTACGCAGTGAGTGCTGGTGGGCAGGAAATCCTGGCAAGCATGCAAGCACAGTTATGCCATTTCTGCTTATTTGTTCAGTGCGGCTGACACGAGGCATCACCTGACTGAAGGTCACCGCAGAGTGTTCGTTTGTGCAGGGCAGGCTTTCACTGAAGCAGATTTATTCCACGCTGGGGATGGAGCTGCTTCCTGGCATAGCTGTGGTGCCACCAGCTGTGTAGGTCTGGCCCCATGGCCATCCCTGGACAGACGCGGACTCCTGCTGCCTACCCTGTGACTTGGCAAGGTGCACGCCGGCTCTTGTCCAGAGCCTCTGCAACTGCATTAGCGTGCTGCTGAGATCAAGCTAATAAGCCCCTTATTCCACCAGAAGAGACAAAATGACAAAATGGTTCCCAAGACATAAGGAACATGCTCCAGCACAGTGAAAGTCAGTGGCAGACCCAGGCATCAGGACTTGAACCTGAAAACTGTCATGCCAGTACTTATACCATAATGCCCTGTTTTTCAGCTCTTTTACAACTATCAGCATTACTTTACCTATACCTCTGAAACAACACATGGTTTTCACTGAATTATAGAATGGTTTGGGTTGAAAAGACCCTTTAAGCTCATCCAGTTCCAACCCCCTGCCACAGGCAGGGACACCTTCCACTAGACCAGGTTGGTCCAAGCCCTGTCAAACCTGCCCGTGAACACTGCCAGGGGTGGGGCAGCCACAGCTTCTCTGGGCACCCTATGCCAGGGCCTCAGCACCCTTACAGGGAAGAATTTCTGCCTAAGATCTCATCTGCCCATAATTGCCTTTTAAAGGCTGTTACTTCTTTGTGTTCTAGAGAAATCTCTTTCACTTCTAAGCAGCAGCAAAATCATGCTGGCAATGGAAATCTCATGACAACTGCTTAGAAACTACTATGGCTTTATCTATTGGTTTTGTCCCATGTACTACTTGGGCATTCAGAATTCAAAAACAGAGCAGTTCAGGTGCTGGGACATAAATGTGTAGTGACGCTTTGGGTGCCACAGGGTATTTGGGATGCCTAAAGAGATCTAGCCCATGTCTTGTAGGATCTGTGCCACCAGAGACCTGAACCACCCTGGCCAAACAAGGACTCTAAAGCTTCTACAGTGGCACCAAGCACCTACAATTAAAGCTCTCTGTTATTCCTAAAGGGTCAGATAAGCAGTAAGTTCCTACAGTAATTTCTGTAGAACAGGAAAAATATGTGTATGTTGTATTTCATTCTATAGATGAACATTTTATTCAGCGAACAGGCATCTTAACATTAAAAAGCTAAAGTATGTAGGGTTTAAACTATGGTAATATTCAATAATTTATGCATAGGCTAATTAGCCCCTGCAGTTAAATTAGGTATTTTTTAAAATTCTGAGACTGTAAAGACTTCTTCTGTTATGTTTTGCATCTGATAGTCTGGAAGAGTTGTATTTGTCTTCTTTTCCTTGAGTAGTGAGGAGAAAGAGATGATCACTGAAGGGAGATTTTGCATCTCTTCAAGAGCACCACTGGCTCTTCTTTCTCCCATACCCTCTCTTTGTTCTGCATTTCACAAGTATGGCTTAATCAAAGAAAAGGAATAAATTGAGGCCATCTAGCTTTGTTGTCTTTCAAACATCCATTACGTGATGCCAACAAAATGTGCATTGTTCAATCAGACTCCTAAAATGTGAGGTAAGCGGTGAGAGTTTCCAAAAGAAAGAACCAGCTTGCATCTCTCCTCCCACCACGAGCTGTGTGGTGCTCCTGCGGTGCTAAAAAAGACTGTCTGTCACAGGTCAGATGAGTCCTCTTTCCTTTCAGGTGGGATTCAAGCATGATAAACCTGGCCAGTTAGCTAATGTTAAAGGAAATTAGCTCAGCAGAAAGCAGGCATACTTGTTGAAGGCAAAGGTGAATAAGATTGTTCAAACTTCTTGTACTCAGATACTGCCTGTCTTTGATTGCAGAGCGATTGCAGTGGATGACTGAAAAGACCTCACAGGTCTTCTGGTCCATCCTCCTGCCAGTACAGATTGCTCTCTGCAAGTATCCTTTATAATTTATCTAAGAGGATCAAAGGGTAATATTCTTTTAGCTGATACCCAAAAAAGGATAATATCCTGTAACCTACTGCAAGCAGTTGCACGTTTTGATGCTAGATTTCAGTGTTTTTGAGAAAACCATCAGAAGAAAATTAGCAGGGGCTCATACGCCTATCGATTCTTTACATGTTTTTTCTTTGGGACCAAGTCAGACATAAAAGCCTTCATAGAGATGATGAAAATTAATTTCTGCAATAAATATATATAATCATCTTAAAATTAATGATTCTGTTGCAGAATAACCCATTTCTGTGAGGACATGCCACCCCGTTTGACTCCTCAAGAAGTATTTATTTGGTTTAGGTAGGAGGATATGAGGACCGCACAACTATGCATGGAGGTCAAGAAAACAACATTTTGGAGCTCTAGTAAATGAATGTCAGCAGGCAGGGAACCAGGTCTCAGGATACACAGTGGGTTCAAGGATGTTGTTTTCAACTCACCTACTGCGGAAAACAAAATGACAATTCAGGAAAAATGTAAAGAAAAAAATTTAGCTTTTGGGATTAAGATAAATCTGGTAGTTCCTCTGAAGTCTGCTTGGCTGCCTGCAGCAGTGAGAGCTGCCAAAGGGGTTAGAAATAATGGAGGACTTGGTGGCATGGAGGAGTGTGGAATAAGCTGCCCAGAAAAAATGCCAGTCCCTGCCCTGCAATTCATAGGTGGCTGACAACTCAAAAAATTATTACAGCCCTTTTATTCTGAGTTACATTTGAATACTTACAAGTGGAGGATTTTACTAAAATCCTTACTTTTTGTAAATTTACTTATTGTGCAATGTTACTTTGAATTATTTACGTCATGAGAACAACCTTTGTATCTTTAATCAGCTTGTTGTCATCCCTGCACAGGCAAAAAAATACGCCTTATTGTGAGCTCTGAGGAGAACGGACTCATGACCTCTATTCTTGCTATGCCTTGGTGAACTCCGTAGCTGATCAGCATGCCCCAGGAGCCACCTTGTATCAGATTCAGAGCCTGAACTTCATTTTCAAAGCATCCAGACAGAAGTCTTTCCCAAGTTTCTCTGTTTTACAGTATACCCAGCCATGAACTAATCTAAATATTGAGAAATCATCCTGTTCCTCTCTTGACTGAATCTTTGTTTTATCCTTCCTGGCTAAACCGGAATGCTAAACAGATCAAAAGTGCTTTTTGCCTTTTGTAGTGGGTGGTGTCGGTAGCAGGGTTTCTCTCCTTAATGGGCTGCATGGTGTTCAGCTGCACTCTTACACACTTTGTTATTTAGCAGTTGATTCTCATTCTCTTCCTCTGTATTTTTTGATCAGTACTTGGCAAGAGTGAATTTGTAATACAAAATGAGGTATATTTTCTTTATTATCAACTAAAACTTTAGTTAGTTTTCTCAATAGATAACACTGCTTAGAGAGAAACTACTGAATAAAGTGATACTGAGGTGAGTTTACCAAGAGTTGTATGTATTGAGGAGCCTTAAATTTTTCTGGGCTCTTAAGCAACAGTTTGGAAGCATTTAGTTATGGTACTTTTAGCCTGGGCTGAGAAAACGTCCGTGGGTTAAGAGCTTTCAACAAATACAGCTGCATTACTCCTATTACTGTCAAACAGTGTGCGTGATTACAGGGATTGCACACCAGGGTTGCAGAGGCTATGGTTCCCTTCTGCTGTTAGATCATATAGCAGGAGGGATCCTTAGTTCACTATCAGGATGTGCTGAAATAACTTGCCATGTATCCCCTAGCAAAGTGACAGGTTTTTAGTTCTTTAATGAAATATTGCTCCTGGTTGCTAAGCCTGTGCACCTCTGAAAGTATCAGCGAAAATCATAGAATCCAAGACTGGTTTGCATTGGAAGGGACCTTAAAGCCCATCCAGTTCCAACCCCCGCCACAGGCGGGGACACCTTGCACTAGACCAGGTTGTTCTAAGCCCTGTCCAACCTGGCCTTGAACACTGCCAGGGATGTATGTATATAATATAAATACATGTATGTGTACATGCATATGAGTGTGTACATATATGTATATATATATATCATCATAGATTGTTCCAACCCCTTGCCACAGTAGGGATGCCTCCCACTAGACCAGGTTGCTCCAAGCCCCGTCCAACCTGGCCTTGAACACTGCCAGGGATGGGGCAGCCACAGCTTTTCTGGGCTTCCTGTGCCAGGACCTCAGCATCCTCACAGGGAAGAACTTCTGCCTAAAATCTCATCTCAATCTCCCCTCAGTCAGGTTAAAGCCATTCCCGTTGTCCTGTCCCTACAGGCCCTTGTCCAAAGCCCCTCTCCAGGTTTCCTGTAGCCCCTTTAGGCACTAGCAGCTGCTCTAAGGTCTCCTGGATCCTTCTCTTCTCCAGGCTGAGCAAACGCAGCTCTCTCAGCCTGTCTCCAGAGCAGAGCTGCTCCAGCCCTCACAGCATCACTGTGGCTTCCTCTGGACCCTCTCCAACAGGTCCCAATCGTGCATCTGGGTTTGTTGTGTCCTCACTAAATTGAAAGAGTGGAAGAGTAGTTATCTCGTAAATGTCTTACTTTACAACTTACATATGCTCTGGGGTCACTTAAATTTTGATCAGTTGTTATACCTATAATGCAGTGTGAATTTTCCAGGGCAGGTCCCCCTTACACACACAGAGTGCCTGTGCCTACACTAAAACACAAAAAACCTACATTTTTGTATGTGTTCAGCATCCTGCAGACTCTGCAGGAAGTGAGCTCTGACATAGATCGCCTATCTAAATCCATCCGCAGGTCCTGATGGAGCAGGCAAATGAAGTTGGAGTACCACTGTCCGTCATATTTGAAAAATCATGGCAGTTAGGTGAAGTTCCTGAGGACTGGAAAAAGGGAAGTATAAACCCCATTTTTAAAAAAGGGGAAAATGGATGACTGTCATGGTTTAAGCCCAGCTGGTAACTCAGAACCACGCAGCCGCTCACTCACTCCCCCCTTTTCTCCCCCCACTCCCAGAGAGATGGGGAGGAGAATCAAAAGAATGTAACTCCCATGGGTTGAGATAAGAACAGTCCAGTAACTAAGGTATAACACAAATCACTGCTGCTACCACCAACAATAATAATGATAAGGGAAATAACGACGGAAGAGAATACAACTGATCACCACCCATGGACTGATACCCACCCCAACCCCAGCAGTGATTTATCCCTTTTGGGTAATTGCCCCCAGTTTATATACTGGGCATGACGTGCTATCTCTTTGGCTAGTTTGGGTCAGGTGTCCTGTCTCTGCATCCTCCTGGCTTCCTGTCCTCCCTGAGTCCCTGATACTCAGAAAGTCCTTGGTCAGAGTAAACATTACTGAGCAACAACTAAAAACACTGGTGTTATCAGCACTGTTCCCAGGCTGAAAGTCAAAAAGCACTGCACCAGCTACTAAGAAGGAGAAAAAAATGACTGCTACTGCTGATCCCAGGACAGTATCCAGCCCTTATTCCATACCATTCACATCATGCTCAGATTGCACGTTTTCAACATACTATCACTCTTGTGTCATATATATACATCCACAGAGAGAGAGAGAAAGAGAGAGAGAGATCATTCCTTACTGCATGGACCAATCCCTATAAAGCTGCTGAGTCCATACGGTCCATGATGTCAGGCTCCATCTCTTGTAACAGTCTTTCAGAGCAGAAGAGGCTGTGTGCAGTATTCACACTTGTGAATAACCTGGGCAATAGTGTCCATTGCTAAGTCCACCCCTTGGTCATGAGTCCATCTCTATGTTGCATCTCTGCCCTGACAGCTGAAAGTGTCATGGGCCCTCCAGGCTCAAAATAATTCACTGTCCCCTTCAGCAGTTTCTGCAGCTTGTTGCTGGGGACTCCATACAGCTGCCTTCCATCTCCAACACTTCCAAAGCCCTGGAGGGGCCCAGTGGACTAGATACTTGCCCATACTGTCCCACACACCCTGCCACTCATGACTGTCCAGCCTTGGGGAAAACCTCTTGGCCCTCCTATATTGTCGTCTAACCTCAGACAAGACCCAAACCTGACTCTGCTTAACTTTTGAGATCAGACAAAATGGTCATGGGTAAAACACAGTCTGTATGTGTGCCAACATGCTGATCCCCATCACAATGAGCAGGCAGGTCCCAAGGATACCCAAAGGCCATTCAAAACCTTCAGAACTCTCAAATGATGCTGCTGTACTTGTCACTGGGGCTGCTGTAGCTGCTGTGCTTGCCAGCTCTCACCCCCAGCTTCTCTTATTTCTGAGTCCTCCAGATCTTCCTCCCCTGCCTTGCCGGGAAATGCTGCGTGGTCTCCTGCATCCTCCACTTGTCCCGGGTGCCCGAGGCTGGGCCCAGCTGAGTCTCCCAAAGGTGGTATCTCGCTCTCTGCATCCTCCTGGGGCTCAGGCTCATGGGGCTTGGCAGGCAGCTGCCAGGGGATGCTTTTGGCCACTGCAGGGCTGGGCTCGGCCGCAGAGCTCGGCTCCTCCGCCAGCTCCTCCCGCTGCTCGGCAGCTGCCTCCTTCCCCTCCTCGACCTCCTCCACCAGCAGCCACTCCATCCCAGCCTCCTGCCCCCCTCCCGCTGCCACTTGGTCCCCGGGGCTGCTCTCCCGGGGCCTCTTTGGCCGCTGCCAGCTCCCAGGTCTGCTTGCCCTCGGCTCCCCGCAGCCTTATGAAGAAGGAGGCAAGGACGAGGGCCAGGATGGTGAAGAGCAGAAGGACGGCCAGGTACAAGTCCACAGCCACATCTGTCCTGCCCTGCTGCCGGAGCCTGCCCATATTACAAGTCATTACCATAAAGTACAATGAAAAAAAACCTTAGTCCAAGCCCTCGACCTGATAAACACTGACACAGCAAATACCGGCTGTAAGTAAGGTACGACATGCTAGAACTTTGAGATCAAGAGCAACAACTTTGAGAGCCAGTAAATCAGCATTGTGACGAGTGACTGTTAATCCAAAACAATTAATGCTTTTCACAAATGCAGTTAGACACACTCTGGTCAGATCTGTCATTATCTCAACACAACGTGCCCAATGTTGAGCTCCAAAAACAACTGTAATGATTTAAGCTCAGCCATAAGTCATGCAGTCACTCTCTCACTCCCTCCCCTTTTCTTCCCCTCACTCCCAGAGGGTTGGGGAGGAGAATCGAGAGAATGTGACTCCCACAGGTTGAGATAAGAACAGTCCAGTAACTAAGGTATAACACAAACCACTACTGCTGCCACGAATAATAATAATGATAAAGTAAATAACAAGGGAAAAGAAAAAATGACTGCTACTGGTGAACCCAGGGCAGACTGTTACTGGACATGGAGCCTGACATCATGGACCAGATGGACTCAGCAGCTTTATAGGGATTGGTCCATGCACAAAGGAATGATCTCTCTCTCTCTCTGTGGATGTATATATATTTATATATATGAGATAAGAGTGATGGTATATTGACAATGTGCGATCTGAGCATGATGTGAATGGTATGGAATAAGGGCTGGATACTGTCCTGGGTTCAGCAGTAGCAGTCATTTTTCTCCCTCTTAGTAGCTGGTGCAGTGCTGTGTTTTTGACTTTCAGCCTGGGAACAGCGCTGATCACACCAATGTTCTTAGTTGTTGCTCAGTAATGTTTACTCTCACCAAGGACTTTCTGAGTTTCATGCTCTGCCAGGGAGGACGGGAAGCCAGGAGGAAGCAGAGACAGGACACCTGACCCAAACTAGCCAAAGAGGTATTTCATAACACTGTATGTCATGCCCGGTATATAAACTGGGGGTTGTTACCCAAAAGGGCTAGATTACTGCTCGATCATGCTGGGTATCAGTCCATGGGTGGTGAGCGGTTGTATTCTCTTCCCTTATTTTCCTTATCATTATTATTATTGGTGGCAGCAGTAGTGGTTTGTGTTATACCTTAGTTACTGGACTGCTCTTATCTCAACCTGTGGGAGTTAACGTTCTTTTGATTCTCCTCCCCATCCCTCCAGGAGCGGAGGGGAAAGGCGGTGGAGTGAGACAATACGTGCGTGGTTTCTGAGTGACAGGCTGGGTTTAAACCACAGCACATGCTATGGCACATGAAAAAAAGTGAGATGGTTGGAGACAGCCAGCCTGGCTTCACTAAGGGGAAATCCTGCCTGACCAATTTGATGGCCTTCTATGATGGGGCTACAGAACTGATGGAAGGGGGCAGAGCAGTTGACGTCATCTACCTGGACTTGTGCAAAGCGTTCAGCACTGTCCCACATGACATCCTTGTCTCTAAATTGAAGAGACACCAATTTGATGGATGGACCACTTGGTGGATAAAGAACTGGCTGGATGGCTGCTCACACAGAGTTGTGGTCAATGGCTCAATGTCCAGCTGGAGACCAGTAATGAGTCGTGTCCCTCAGGGATCAGTGTTCAGACCAGTCTCATTCAACATCTTTGTTGCTGACATGGACAGGGGGATTGAGTGCGCCCTCAGCAAGTTTGCCGATGACACCAAGCTGTGTGGTTCGGTTGATATGCTGGAGGGAAGGAATGCCATCCAGAGGGATCTTGACACACTTGTGAGGTGGGCTGGTGCCAACCTTATGAAGTTTAACCATGCCAAGTGCAAGGTCCTACACCTGGGTGGGAGCAATCCCAGGCACAGCTACAGGTTGGGCAGAGAAGAGATTCAGAGCAGCCCTGCGGAGAAGAACTTGGGGATGTTGGTCGTTGAGAAAATGAACATGAGCCGGCTTCAGTGTGCACTAGCAGGCCAGAAAGCCAACTGTATCCTGGCCTGCATCAAAAGGTGCATGACCAGCAGGTCGAAGGAGGTGATCCTGCCCCTCTGCTCTTGTGAGGCCTCACCTGGAGTATTGTGTGCAGTTCTGGTGTCTTCCACATAAAAAGGACATGGAACTGTTGGAACAAGTCCAGAGAAGGGCCACAAGGATGATCAGGGGACTGGAGCAGCTCCCGTATGAAGACAGGCTGAGAAAGTTGGAGCTGTTCAGCCTGGAGAAGAGAAGGCTTCGTGGAGACCCCATAGCAGTTTTCCAGTGTCTGAAGGGGGCCTCTGAGAATGCTGGGGAGAGGTTCCTCATTAGGGACTGTAGTGATAGGACAAGGGGTAACGGGTTAAAATTTAAACAGGGGAAGTTTAGATTAGATATAAGGAGGAAGTTCTTTACTGTGATGGTGGTGAGGCACTGGCACAAGGTTGCCCAAGGAAATTGTGAATGCTTCATCCCTGGCAGTGTTCAAGGCTAGGTTGGACAGTGCCTTGGGTGACATGGTTTAGTGTGAGGTGTCCCTGCCCATGGCAGTGGGTTTGGAACTAGATGATCTTAAGGTCCTTTCCAACCCTAACTATTCTGTGATTCTATGATGGGATACGTAGGGTTTCCTTTCTACCAAAAGCAAAGATTTAATCAGTACATACAGTCATATAGCACAGCAAGAAACGTAACATGTAGTTAATTCACACAGCATGCCTAGTGCTCCATAAGCATCTGCAACGTGCTGTTTCTTTGGGGCTGGTGTTTCTTTCCAGGATGGTTCTTCATTCCTATCCCCTACCTTTTCCACATGCCATATAACTAAATAATCTGATTTCAAAAATCTCGCAAGTTCAGCCTGTATCCTAGAGAAGTAAGCAATTGACATTATCACTTAATGTGTCACAGTCACTCTGTTCTTAACCTGTGAAAACAGAAGCCTTAATTGTGTGGACACATTAAGAAAACAGATTTATTTCTTTTAGGGGTCTTGTTTGCTGAGGAATTCTTTTGAAATTAATGAACTAAGTAATGAAGAAATTTAGCAAAGCTTAGGCTGAGTAGTTTTGAAAGATTTCTAGATTCTGCAATTAACTTTGAGATGTTACCCTTTGATAAGTAACTGCTCTCATGCATGCCACCTTGCAGTATACCTCCCTGAGTCTCTAGGTATTCCTCTTTTCCTGTTGATTGAAAAATAAATAAATATATTTGATGACAGGATCATGTTATTCATTTTGTGTCCTTTGCACTGGCTGCCAAAAAAAGGGTAGGCTTATGTTTAATGGCTGTTGCTTATTCTTAAATCCCTTACCAGTGGAGACCTTTGCAGTATGTGAAATCCTCCTAGTTGAGATATGTCAAACTTTCAGGCACTGTGTGCTGTTTAAGGCTCTGCCTGAAGTGGGCAAGTGAGTTTTTGCTGTGATAGTTCTTAAAATAGCAGCATCTGATTTGGTCATGGAGTCCACTTGTAAATACCTTTCTGCTGCTCTTGGCTGTTTGTTCATTATGTTCTTTCACCATTTCCCTTTTTGAGCAACCCCAGCTGACTGATAGAGTTTGGCTGATATTTAAGTGGATTTTTATCTTGATGAGCACCAGGCAGTATCATCACTGGAGCAGAAGTTCAGGTACTGTTGTTAATTCTGTTACAATTATGGTAAATGACCATAACCTTCCAGTGCCTAAAGGGGCTGACAAGAAGGATGGAGAAGGGCTTTTGAAAAGGGCCTGTAGGGACAGGACAATGGGAATGGCTTTAAATTTGCAGAGGGGAGACTGAGATGAGATCTTAGGCCAGAAATTCTTCCCTGAGAGGGTGCTGAGGCCCTGGCACAGGTTTCCCTGAGAAACTGTGGCTACCCCATCCCTGGCAGTATTCCAAGGCCAGGTTGGATGGGGCTTGGAGCAACCTGGTCTAGTGGAAGGTGTCCCTGCCCATGGCAGGGTTTGGAACTGAATGAGCTTTAAGGTCCCTTCCAACCCAAACCGGTTTGAGATCCTGTGATGACATGATTTCCTAGCAGCACTATGTAGTATGGCTATTTCTACCCAAAGATAAAGTGACCAAGCAAAAATCAGGTCTTCTAGACTCAGCAAAGACAGATTGTAGTTGCAAAAGATGACCACTGCCTCAGTTCTGTCAGAGGTCCACAGAGCATGCAAAAGTTGGAAAGAAAAGCTTATGACATGGAAATACTGGAAATTATTTCATGTCCGCAGTGGTGGTCACCCAGGACCTCTCTGAGCTGTATTGAAAGTCACTCTGTCTTAATGCATATGGTTCAAAGACTGAGGAATTTACCCAATGTACGTTTTTATACTTCTGCACTGCTGGAAGTACAACGCTTGCTCGTTTTGCTTTCAGTTGCAAGTATTAGGCATAGCACTTGTGACCAGTCCTGGATGACACTGCTTTGAGTGTGGTGTTGGACTAGCAACCTTCGGAGGTTGCACCAATAGAGCTGAACTACAAAAATAGCAAAATAAGTCAAATGTGGATTGTTAAACAGTGTTCAACTGTTTTGACCATAAGAGCTATGAGGGCTCTTCCAAAGTCTCAGCCTGAAGATCTGGTTTATCAGCTTCTATGGGACATCCAGGACAAGACCATTCTTGGGGTTACAGCTTTTGTGCTGCCACTGTTAAGGACAGATCCTGCAGTTGCCCAGATCCATTCTTCTGCACAATCTCTTCCCCAGTGCAGGACTGAGTCAATCCTCCACTTTTCCTGCTTATCTGCACTTCCATCACCTATCACCAAGCACTGTTTCATGGCAATATGGGGATGTAGTGGGTTGACCTTGGCTGGCTGTCAGGTGCCCACCCAGCTGCCCTTTCCCCTTCTCAACTGGGTAGGGGAGAGAAAATACAACAAAAGGCTTGTGGGTTGAGGTGAGGACAAAGAGATCAGCCAGTGATTACCGTCACGGGCAAAACAGATGTGCCTCAGGGAAATTATTTTCATTTATTGCCAATTGACAATGCAGTAGGATAATGAGAATTAAAAAAAATCTTAAAACACCTTCCCCCACCCCTCCCTTCTTCCCAGGCTCAACTTCATTCCCAAATTCCCCACCTTCTCCCCTCCAGTGGTGCAGGGGAACGGGAAATAGGGATTGTAGTCAGTTCGTCACACGCTGTCTCTGCCACTCCTTCCTCCTCACTGTTTTCCCCTGCT